AGAGGCTGTCGCTGCGGCAGCAGAGCCACGTCTCCGAGGAGCGCTCCTTCTTCGAGGCCGAACGGGAACGCAAACTCTGGCGGCTGAGAGATGGGGCGAGCTCCAGTGGCTTCCTCACCCCCGAGGGCAGCGTCGTCTCTACTGGGACCAACTACTCGGGGGGCTCGGACCTCACCGCCGGCTCCAGCTTCTCCCTGGGCTCCCTCACCTACTTACCCGACAAACTGCAGATCGTGAAGCCGCTGGAAGGTGAGGGGCAGAGGGGGTGCAGAGCTGCAGCTGTTCTGAGGGTCCTACACCCCCAGCTGAGCTCCCCCCGGCTGTGTCCCCCCAGGCTCTGTGACACTCCACCACTGGCAGCAGCTGGCACAGCCCAACCTGGGTGGGATCCTGGTGCCCCGTCCCGGGGTGCTCACCAAAGACTTCAGGCAGCTGGACACAGACCTGGAGGAGGTGTACAGTCTCAATGACCTGGAGGAGGATGATGTGGACACCAGCTCCTTCCAGCTGCTCCCTACCTCAACACCCGCCAAAGCCAAGGAGCGCCCCAGGGGTGAGCACGGGCAGAGGGGACGGAGGGGCCGCAGCCCCCGGGATGCCCCTGCTCTCCTCTCTAGGCTGCCTCTCGCCTCCCTCCTCGCTCTCCCCTCCTGCAGCAGCCTCTCCCTGCCACCACCCACCTGTCCCCACGGGGATGCTCCGCCTGCAGCTGCTCAAGGGCCGTTCTCGGGCAGCTGCCCCGGCGGGATGAGCCCTCTCCATCACCCTGGCGAGCCCCTGCTGCCCTCCGGCTGCCTGGAAGGGGCCGGTCTGGGACAGACCTGTGCTGGCTGTGCCCTCTGAGCAGGCACCAGACACAGTTGCTGCTGGAGCTGTGCCCGGTGCATGGAGCTTCCATCCCAGCTTTGGCTGTCCCCCTCCCCATTGACCCCTTGTCTCCTGTCCCTTCCAGTGTTCCTCTCTGTTAACAACCTCCCCCAGACCCCGTCTACCTTCACCATCACCACCTGCCACATCCTCCACCCCACCACTGCGATCACCACGGTGACACCCAGGTAAGGCGCGTGGCCCCCGCCAGCTGCGCTGCCTGCACCAGCCCCCGGCCCCGCTGTGCCCCCAGCTCTCTCCTTCTGCCCCCTGCCCGCCTCCCTGCAGCTCGAGGAAGTGGCAGGCCGGGGGCCACCTGCAGCCCCCGATGCTCTGAGAGATGCCAGCACTAGAAATATCCCCAAATCTGGCTGCTGGGGTGTCTGTGTGCCCGGGGGACTGGGACCAGCCCCCTCCTCTGCACTGCAGCACCCTGATGGATGGAGAGCCTTCCTCGGGTGGGCTCTCCCGGGGGAGCAGCAGCACCCCGGGCAAGGAGCAGCGAGTGCTCCTGACACCCTGGGCAACCGGCACAGCTTTCCTCCCTCCCCTCTTGGGCAGCGGCCAGGAACTTTTCCCAGCCGGGCTGTCCCTTCGTTAATGAGCACCGGTGATTAGCCCTAATGAGCCCCCCCAAGGTTCGTTGGGGGTTGGTGCAAGCTGGAGTTCACTGTTAGACAAAACCCTGGTGTCTGGAAATTGCTTGTGGAGTGGTGGCTGTGTCCCAGGCTCTCCTGGCTGCTGAGGAGCAGCCCCATCACTCTGTGAGCTCTGGGGTGCTTGAGCAGTTTGCAGCACGGGGGTCTCCTATAGCCCAGGGCTCTGTAGGTGAAGGAGGACACCAGCTGATCCCCACCTCTGCTCTCTTCCCCTCCAGTCTGTATCATGCCGTCGTGCCTTCTTGTGGGCCCTTTGAGGGGCTGAGCCTCAGCAGCCCCTCACCAGACCAGACTCCCCCCACACTGGCGCTTGGTCCTGGACCCCTGAGCACCCCCATGGGACTCTTCAGGCTCTTGCTGGGGCGAGATTCCCGCTTGGCACCATGGACTGGATCACGGTGGGCCCCCTCACTCCACTGCCAGGACCCTCAGCATTCTGAGTCACAGCCCCCCCGTGTGCCCAGGGGCCAGGACGGACCCCGACCCAAGAGCAGCATCTTCAGCTGGAACCTGGTGGAGAAGTTGCAGCGCCTTGGGCTGGACAAGGTGGTGGCCAGAGGGGAGATGTCCTGTGCCCAGCCAGGGCCCAGAGGGGCCTGGGGCACCCAGAAGTGATGCTGCTGCAGAGTCCCCAGGCTCAGAGTGAGACACATCCTCTTCCTCACCCATCCATGGGGAAATGGAGACAGTACAAGCTTCAGTCTCAGCTCCCGATGCTGACCCAGGTCCATCAGCGTTCCTGGCACCAGCCTGGGGAGCTTTGCCCCAGCTGCAAGGACAGAACCTGGCACAGCTCCCCATCTGTGGGGGGTACAGGGAGTGCTGGCTGACCCTGCCCCTGCTGGAGGAGTAGAGACCCTTCACAGGAGCCAGTTTCTGGCAATAAAAACTGTTCCTGCTTCTGCTGAGCCTGTCTGCGGAGCGAGGGGCAGCGGGGCCCGTTTGGGGCTGTCCAGATGCTGCAGAGAAGGGCGATGCTCAGTCTGGGCTCGGGTGTGTCCTGGGGCAACCCACTGGGGCCAGGGGGAGACCCCTGCACCCTGGGCTGGGCCCCTGGCCAGCACCTGGACTGGACTGGCTTTTAAAGGGAATGGTGGTTTAACTCTTTCCTGCCCACTGAATAGCAATAGTAGCAGCACCCACAGCTTGGGATGTTCCTGGGGGTGCATCTGTTGCTCCTCCCAGCTGTGTCCCTCTCTCCAAGGTGTGCCCCATCCCCTGGCAAATAAATGTGAATTCACAGAGCAGTTTGGTTGTGCTGTGTCTGCTGCATGTTCTGTTTGCTGCCCTGTGCATCCCTTTGGGGGCAACTCCCCGCTGCCCTCCCTCCCGGGCTCTCCCCAGCACAGTGAGAGTGCAGAGGCCATAGTGCCAGAGTTTTATTGTGGGAAAGGACACACTGAATGTGTCAGGGCTCTGCATGGCCAGCCCAGCAGCTACACAGCACCAGCCTCGTCCTCAGCGCTGCGGCGGCCGAAGTCCATCCAGTCGGGGTAGTAGTGGTCGTGCAAAGCCTCCATCCCCTCATCCCCGTGCACAAAGGCCTTGTGCTTGTTCAGCTCTGCCAGGGCAAAGGCAGCAGTCAGAGCTGGCACGGGGGCCAGGCTGTGCCCCCTGAGGGCTGCCCACCCTGAGCTCCCAGTACCTGCGAGGACATGGGGCAGGAACTGGGACAAGAGGTGCTGCTGCTCCTGGGACAGGTTCTCGGGCCAGTCCCGCCGGACCAGGCTGGGGGGGTGCTGGTGGGGGTCCCCCAAGGTACCCGGTGCCTCTGCTGCTGGCCGGCACAGGCAGGCAGTCGCTGCGAGGGCGAGGATGAGACTGAGGCACAGCGTCACCTTCATGGCTGTGGAGAGACCGACCAGGGCTGGGGACGTGGGGGAGCTGCAGCCCCCAAACTGGGACATGCTAGGCTGTGGTGAGGGTGGCCTGGGCACTCAGCCCTGGCCATGGTCAGTTCACACTCCTCTGCCCCTCCCTTTGGGTCCCCAAGTCCCCTTCCACCTTCTCCCCAAGTTTTCTCCATCCCCATCTCCTGGCTGGAACCCAATTCCCCATGAACCACAGTCAAGGCAGAGGGATCCATAAGGCTCAAGTCCCGCTCCTTGCAAGGATGCTGAAAACTAAAGCACACGGCCAGGAGCATCATCCAGCTCCTCCCTGAGCTCAAACAGCTGGAGCTGGGTTCCCATCCCCAGGGCATGGCCCGGCCCAGATCCCCTCGGCTCCTCTTGGTGGGTCCTCTTTGTCCCTCCCATCTGCTCCTCAGGTTTTCTCCATCCCTCTCTCCCAGCTGGTCCCCAAGTCACCTGTGGACAGTGGCAGAGCCCTGTGAGACTCACCTGTGGGTTCTGAGGCTCAGCAGGGTGTCAGGGTGGGTGTCCTGGTGGGTCTCAGTGCACGTCTTCCTCCAAGATCGCCCCAGCTCAGCCCCGCTTTTAAAGGCACTGCTGGGGCTGCCACACCCCAGGGCGGCTCCAACACAGCCACCCACCCCCGGGGGGGGCCTCGGGCACCTGTGTGTGCTCACAGCCACACAGCCAGACACACAGCCACACAGGCAGACACACAGCCACACAGCCAGAGACACAGACACACAGCCAGACACACAGACACAGACACACAGTGACACAGACACACACACAGCCAGACAGACACAGACACAAACACACAGACACACAGCCAGAGACACAGACACACAGGCAGACACACAGGCAGACACACAGGCAGACACACAGCCACACAGCCACAGACACACAGCCACAGACACACAGACACACAGACACACAGACACAGACACAGACACTAACACACAGACACACAGACACAGACACACAAACACACAGACACACAGGCAGACACACAGACAGCCAGACGGCCACACACACAGACACACAGACACACACTCAGACACACAGCCACAGCCTGACAGCCATATCCATACACACATGTACAGGTATATGTGTCCATACACATTCCTAGCTACACATGCACAGTTCATGGCGGGCTGTACATGGACACACGTGAACACAAATCCAGGTGCAGCTGCCAGGGCTCGCTGCCTTGGCTGCACATTTGTACAGAACAGGAGAGCTCTGTGTGCAGCTGAACGTGCACATCATGCATTATTAAATAACAGCAGCTATACAGTATCACACACCGCAGTGTTGTGTGCTTATATATAAATACTTATATAAATAATACAGTGTCATATATAAAATTTTATACAGTATAAAAAAATATATACATATCTATATATATATCTATATATAATGTGTACATTTCTAATAGATAACATAGCTTATGCACCTATGCAAATACATCCAGGTATCCATATGTACACATGGACACATATGGATGAGGTAACTGTACATCACTGAGTGACGGAGGGTGTGTGCAGTGATGGCTACCATGGAACACCATGACATATCTCTCTCTCTCTATATATATGTATAGAAACACAGTTATATGTATATATAAATATGAATGATTACATAAATATACATTTACATATGTTTATATGTACATGTCTATATATATGTGCATATACACATATACACACACATATACATGTGTGTATATATATATATATATACACACCCATGATTTTTGGAGGCCTCCCATTACCTAAACAATTCTGGAATTATGTATATATATATATATGTATATGTATATACATGTGTATATATATATGTATATATATGTACACATATATCTAAATGTGTACACATTTATACATATTTATACATCCAGATCTATCTACATTTATAAATAGCAATACATATGCATATATCTGTATGTGCACATATATATATGTGTATACAGGAGTAGGTGTGTGTACATACATGTGTTCCTACATGTGTACGTGTGTCTGTGTGTCTGTCTGCACACACACACACGGGTGTACGTGCTCCCTGACACGCAGGTGTGTGCACACGTGTTGTGCCAGGGCTCCCAGGGGCTCTGTGCAGACCTGGGGGCTGTGTCTGTGTGTGTGAGGCCCCTCAACAGGACACAGGTCCCGGAGCTGCAGCTCTGGATCTCTCCCTGCACCCCAAAAAGCTTTGGGGTGTTGTGGAAGGAGTGGGCCCCGCTCGTGTCAGAGCCCCTGGAGATCCTTGTCTGTCGCCATCCACCCCCTCATTGGATATTGATGTTTCCTGCTGCCTGCATTGACCCCTCATCAGTGTATTTGTAGAGCCCATTTGTCTCCCTCCTTCAGTAAACCCCGTGAACGACATCCTGGGCTGGGGCACGTCACTGTCCCGTGTCCCCCCGTGTCCCCAACGAGCCGTGTTGGTGCTGCTCAAACACCCCGAAACAAATGGGCTTTGGATGGCCGGAAGGCAGCGGCACCCAGCACCCCGCAGCCATCGATCGCTCGCTCCACCGAGCACTCACACAAGGAACAAACAAATTGTTTTCCAATTTCTGCCTTTTAATGGTTCAATCTGGACCAAATGAGCCGTCAGGGTGATGGGGACATGGTGGCCACTCCCTCCAGGGCCACAGCTTGGCATCACCTTGACGCAGGTTTGTTACTGGGGCTGTGGGCTGGACTCTTCTGCGGGTGGACAGGCAGAGCTGGAGGATGGACCAAGCACCCCTCACCCTCCCTGGCTGTGGTTAGCTGTCCTGACAGTGGCCAAATCTGTGGGCAGCCTGGCAAGTCCAGTGGGGAGAAATCCAGGCTGGACATGCACCGACACACAAAGGGCATGGGAATTCCTGGTGCAGCAGCAGCAGAGATTGGTCTGTGTCAGGCTGTGGGCACAAATGCACACCCTGGTGTGAATGCTGGCCTTGGTGCTGTCAGCACCCGCTCTCCATGTGCAGGGCTGCTCACCTGTCTGCCAGCACCTGCTCCCCGAGGTACAGGCAGGGCTGGAGGTCACTCTGAGGCACAGGCAGGGCTGGAGGTCACTCTGAGGCACAGGCAGGGCTGGAGGTCACCTACCTCCTCAGTGCACTCCAAGCTGCTTTGCATAATTGCACTTATTTGGTTTCCAAGAGCAAAGTCTCCCGGGAAAGTGACAGTGAACTCAGGGCTCCTGCACAGCTCGTGGGAGATGGGGGTCATTGTGGCAGTGGATCAAGAGCCAGGACCTGCTCTGGGGGGCTGCCAGGAGCATGAGCAGGTGACCAGGGTGGGAGCAGCCTCCCAGGACACCGCAGCCCTCCCTGCTGCAGGACAGGTGGGCTGGGGGCAATGGGAGGGAAACCCAGGGACTCCCCGTGCACTCACGCATTTCAGTGCATTTCACACCGCTCTTGTGCCGGAAGCACCTGCCAGCCCCCAGAACCATTGCTGCCCTCAACCAGTGCATTTTACTGAGATTTCATTCTTGCCTGTTGATCTTGAGCTCAGGAAATAGAGTACTCAGCCCCTGACCTGTGGCAGAGCCTGACCGGGGTGGCAGCGCTTCCCCCTCCTCCCCAGAGCATTTTTGGGAAGCACAAATGCTGACCCTGCCCAGGGGACTTACAGGAACACAACGAGCACAGGAGCCGGTTCGAGGGTTACAGAGCTCGGGCAGGGGATGACTCAGCACCCACCCACTCCTCGGCTTTCCCTCAGCTCCCAGCAGGAGCAGCAGAGACAGCACCAAAGGAACTTCCCCTTCCTGCAGTGGGCCACCCCCAAGCCTTCAAGGAGCCCCCAGGGCTGGGAATCCCACCAGGCCCCAGGAACAATGGAACCCACCACGCACAGGCTTTTGAAAACCAGTTTTATTTAAATAACTTTAAATACATTACAGTAAAACATTAGAATTGAAACCAAAGCCATGTTACTGCACAGGGTGTGAGGCAGTGCCAGCTCCAGGGATGCTCATGTTAGTCCAACATCGAGCCCTTGTCACAAGTTTAACCCATGGGACAGTTCCTCCAGTGCCTGGTACCTCAGGGCTCGCAGGTACCAGCACCTGAACTGCAGCCATCCAACCTCCAAGTCACTCTTCTGTCACTCCTTCTGAGCCAGGCCTCCCCACATCCCACTGCCTCTGGGAGCCAGCACAGCCCAGGGGGATGTGTCCCGGAGCCAGGGGCCTCACACCAGGCAGGACACGATTCCCCTCTGTCAGGATGGAAGCGCAGCTGGACTGAGGAGCCATCAGGACAGGCAGAGTCCCTGGGCTTAGCTGGGAACAGCTGGAACTTTTGGCTTCAGGCTGGATGGTGCCGCTGCCCGCGCTACCTCTGGGAAATGAGGGACAGCCAGACGAGATAGCATGGGCTCGTGTCAGTTTATTACATCACCAATTACAACAGTCCAGACTCAACAGTGGACCCAAGATTGTTACATTACACAAACCGGCTGGTTTTAAACTTATGACAAGGGAGAGGTGGGAATTTCATGGTAAGGATATCTTCTTGCATAAAGCTCCAGTGGCCCACAGGCACTTAAAACCCGTGGACTTTCAGCTGGTCGTCTTTAGCCAGTCCAATCTGCAAGATAGAAAACGCGTTCACAGCATGGGGTGATGCCTCTGTGCATCCAAACGCTGCCCACACCCAGGGACCTGTGTGCATTTAACAAACTCGTGTTTATCTCAGCAGGCTGAAGGTGTCCTACCTCCACGAGGAACTGGCAGATGTTCTTGCGCTGGTCACCCTGCAACTGAATCACTTCTCCATACTCGGGGTGCTCAATTACAGTACCATTGCAGGCAAATTTCTGTAGCAAAGACACAAAAATTCCCTTAGCACCACACAAACATCCCTGCCGGGCGTGGCCGTTGCCCCCCGAGCCGAGAAGCCCTACCTTCTTGAAGGCCTTCACCAGTTTCTTTTTATCGTAGTCATCCGCGATGCCCTGGACTGTGGTGAGGGTCTTCCTGCCGTTGCGCTGCTGGATCCTTATATGGATGTAGTCCTCAGTGCCGGCCGGGAGCAGGTCATCACCCTTACTTGCATCCGCAAAGGGGTCTGCGGGAAGCGCCGTCAGGCCCCGCCCCGCCGCCCCGCCATTGGCCCCCGCGCCTGCCCATCACGCGCAGGACACGCCCCA